TAGAAATTGTGTTAATAAACATCTAGAATTTTGACAAAAATTACATTTAGTAATATGCAAACACATCAATGTTACAAATATTTGCAAAAAAATAGCGTTGTTACGTTGTAAACACTTATTTTGGGAATACAAAACACCTTTCAGAATTGGAAAAACCCATCTGTATGTTGAGTTATAAAAATTTCCGTAAAGGCGATTTTTCTTAATTGATAAATAGTAATTTTGCATTTGTTATTATTATAAAAATGATCGACAAAAATCTTTACTATATATTTGATTTTATTATTTGATTTCCCCTATGTTTGTGATTATACTAATATCTAACACCCCAATGACACGTAACACAGGTATAAACGATGAAGGAAAATAAAAATAAATAATAAATAAAAAAATAGAAATAGAATTAATTTGACCCGGAATTACGAGATTCGCCCAAAATATCTTTGTCAGAATCTAATTCCGGTCCGGTAACATTATTACTATAATAATAATAAAATTTTTTTTGATTGAGAATTAAAAGCTTGTTTGTTACACGAAAATAATGGAATATTTTTCTTTAATTGAGAATCAAAAATTGGTTTGTTATACGAAAAATGGTATGAAAATATTTTTACTATTACTTCTAAAATAATGTATGGAAAAAGTTTTGTTTGTTACACGACGACAAATGGTATGAAAATATTTTTACTGTTACTTCGAAAATAATGTATGGAAAAAGTTTTGTTTGTTACACGACGACAAAATATTTTTATACTTGATCGGAAGCACAATCTTGTTACACGAAAATAATACACAATGTTTCTTGATTGATAATAACAACTACACAAATTTTCTTGATTGATAACACAATATTAGTACCAAAAAATTTTCTTATAAATAATAGTGAAAAAAAAATAATGCAAAAAAATCCCAATTAATTAATAAAACAACTAATTTATAAATAAATAATAAATTAATAAATTAAAATAAACTATGAATAATCATAATCATAATCATAATCATAATCATGATTATTATGATACCCAAATTAATAGTGACTATATTCCTCCTAATATGCAAACAAACGCTATTACTCTTGACAAAAACTCAGTTGATCTAACAAGTATTGATAACAATAATTATGGTTCAATTAATCCGTTGGTTGATCAGAATTCAATCAACTCAGATAACATTACTCATCTAAACCCTGTTAACAATAACAATCTTACTAATAATAATTTCGTTGGTGACAATACCCATCAAAACTCTTCAAGGAACGATGTCCTTGGCCAGAATCAATTTAATCCAACGATGAGCATTAATTGTCAAAGCTCTGCCGACAATATTTTCTTTGGACAGAACTCAGTAAATAATAATTTAGGCGTGCAAACTAATAATTACAACAATTTAACCAGAAACCAACTAATGTTTATAGCATTTCAGCTTCAAAATATCGTGAATCAATTGCTATATAGCAACAACATGAATCATTAATATTTTATTATTATTTCTATATTTATTATTATTTCTAAAATTATTATCACTTTATTATCATTTTATTATTTCTATATTTATTATTCTAAAATTATTTCTATATTTATTATTCTAAAATTATTATTATTTTATTATTATTTTATTAAGAGTTGCATAAAAATATCAAGTGCAGTCTTATTAATTCATAATTTAATTTAGTTTTCAATTCTTCATCATCATCTGTTGAAATAACCATTGGCTCTAAGTTAACTAAAAAGGCAGCTTGATTTGATTTTTAATTTTTATTAAAATAACTGGTTTAATTTTTTGACTAAATCAAACTCAATTACTTGTACGAGAAGATTTGACTCGCACACAATTCCAAATTCCTTTATTAAATAAAATACTCTTCGGAATGAGATAACGATACATATAATTTCCAAAATTACTTTTAAATTTAAAACCAAATTCGGTGCAGGTATTTACAAATAGTGGATTTTATATATGCGTGACATCAACTAAATTTACCACTACTACATTAATGTGTGGACTGTGTAACATTACTATTATAATTGATTTTTTTTAATCAACTTCTTAAAAAAAGATATACTAAAACGTATGTATTAAAATAAATAAAACAGATAGATGATGACCTTAGTAAATTAATTATATCATATATATTGGTTCCCATATTTAGATTATGTTAACTGAAGAAAAATGCAAATTTAATTTAATTAATTGATGTGAAAAATAAATAAAATAAAATATAAATCGTATATATTTAAAAGAATGCTTTTTTTTTAAAATTGAACTCATCAATGATTTTTCAATTATTTGTTCTAAGTACATTTCTCAGCTGATTTTCCTTTGTTGTGATATTCCTTCATCTTATCAGCAGGGTTGTCTTTAATATCATTCTATGAGGTAGCCCATGCTGGACTGTTGAATGAGGATAGAATGGAAGAATGTTTTCCAGTTATCAACACATCCACAATTCCGGCACATTCACCAAATGGTCCAAGTTCAACAGTTTTATCATTACATGCGCCAGCTTGTACACGCAATTCTGATGAGTGATTAATGTCGGCCCTATTCCAATTAAATTGTATATGGTTAATTAAATGATATTGAATTAATCCAACAAACAAGTTTTAAACCTGATGGAAAATAGTTTGAAACAACAAGGATTACGTATGTCGACGCTTGCACACACATGCATGGAAAGAAGAATAAAATTTAAAAGATGCACTAAAAACCTCGGCGACTACCAACTCACGACTGCTTGGATAACCATTTAACGAACCACTTTATTAATTCGATAAATAAATATCAATTTAGGATAGTAACGTCAAAACTAACAATAAACATTTGATATAATCTAAATATTAATTGAAAAAAATGTTATTAAAAAAATAAATAATAAACAAATAATGCAGGTGTAAATGGATGACAGGCGCTCACCGAACCAAGAGTTCTTTTAAGTTGTAGAAGGAAAATGAATCAGCCTTCTGTCCGTACCGATATATCTGAAATATGAAATAAAAATCCGGCTACCCTAAATAATTATTCAGTACATATGCAAATGGAGTGTAATGTCACATCAAGTCACACGTACGAGCTGGCGTATGTAATAATAAAACTGTTGAACTTGGACCATTGGATGATTGTGCTGGAATTGTGGATGGGTAAATAGACAACATTCTCCCGTTCTATCCTCATTCCACAGTCCGCATGGATCTATGCAATCTTTGTTTATTAGTATCGTTATTATTATTGAAAATGATCGATAACCAATTTGTTATCAGGTTTGAAACTTGTTTTTTGGATTAATTCAATTAAAAAGAAAATAATACATATATAGTTAATCAAATTTTGAATTTCGTCCATAAATTCTAAAACTATTAATTGTTACTATAATTCAATAGAATAGACATTATTATCCAAAGCTTTTCCTAGACAAGGAATAAAAATTCCAATTCGTAAAGAAACTCGTTATAGAAAATCCAATAATGTTGAACATGAAATAATGCCAAAAAAAAATAAAGAATCAACTTCGTTAGTTGCGTCATCTTCATCGGCATCATCATTAAAAACCATTTTGAAACCTAATCAAAAATTAGCTGGTCAATCTACTACTACTGCAAATATCATCACTTTAATAATACTGATAATGGAAAAAACGCTCATGGAGGACGGAAAATAACGAGAAAGATAGCGATGACAACAACAATAACTATTAGACCAGATGTATAAAAATCAAAATTTCAAAAGTTGTGTAATTTAATCAATTACTTTTATTAATATTAATAATAATTATGACCATACCTCTCAGGAACAGTGTTATCATCAGTATTAGTCACAACTAATCTTACCACAGGTGGTGGATCAATAATACGCCTATCTTTATCATCGAAGCCGCCAATTCTTGCTCTTATCGGCTGTTGACTTCTAACCGATAGTTATGTTGTGCGTGAAAATGAAATTTATGTGAATTTGCAATTCACACATGTGAAATTCAAATCAGCCAATCAGAATTTCATATCCAAACACCCCATCCCAAATTTTAATATTTCACATACAACAGTTTATAAATTGTAGGAGAGAAGAATATTAAGAAAGCAATCTCTTTTCATGATGGTTATTATTATTTGAAAGCTTAATTAATAAACTGAAGAAAATTTGAAAATTTGATCTTGAGCTGAGGAGATTTTTTATTTTCTTAAAAAATTAATTAAATGAAAACCGTTTACGTGGAAAGAGAAAATAAAATAAATATTAATTGTCAAACTAAATGCATAGAAACTATTATTATTAAGATTCTTAGTATTATTATTCTATAAAATAATGTCATAATATAAAAAATATCACACAAACAACTATATACAATGATGTATGCAGAGACAAAATAAATTTTCCAAAAGAAAAATGTCAAAAAAATCAAATTTTCACACATACGATTGAGTTGAAACCTCCAATAATCTCGAGATTTTGCTATTGTTAAAATTATGTGAAATCATTGTAAGATTTTTTTATTTTTTAATCAGCTAGTGTGCACTCGACACCAATTGACACTAATACTAATAAATTTTCTTCGAAAAGAAATCAACAAAAATTTTTTAAATCGTCATCGATAGATGTGACACACGCATGAAAAAAAAAATGCAATGTATTGAAAAAAAAGTGAATATTTACCAAGTTATTATTGATTATATTATTGATAGTATTTTTAAGAAATGACAAAATCAAAATTTTGGCCTCATTTGTTAAACTGGATAGAATTGATAATTTCAGCTCCTATTTCATCAGCTTTGCTTCTAAAAGGAATTGGGTCACTTTTTCTTTTATAGATGACGAAAAGAGAAATAAACTATGACACCTGAATGTGTTTTAAATTGGTATTTATTTTAATTACAAATTAAAATGTCCAAAAAATACCAACAATGATAATATGGATATTACAATTGATGATGATTGAAATGTGGGAAGCGAAAATGATAAAGTGATGATGATGATGAAACAACTTGAATAGAAAGTGGTGAAGAAGAAGGCAGTGGTAGTGATAATAATATTGAAAATTGTATCATTTATATATATATACACTCACTAGACAAAAGTCGGGCGCATTTTTAAACAAAAATTGCGCAAAAACGCACACAATAAAAACACAGATAA